TTCCTCCCTCCCTTCCTCTCTCCTTCCTTTCCTTCCCTTCCCAGAGATGACCCTACACTTCACATTTCTACTATGCTCCTAACACTGCATATTTGAAGCGATGTTGTATGTCTAAATAAAACATAATAATTTAAGTTTCTTTCTCCATACTTGTTGAAGGTGACAACTAGAGAATGTAAATTTTCTTGACTCATTGAATTTCTATTGGATAGCACAGCTCTCAACTCTGAATTTCTTGAGGAAAAATCTGTTCTCATTTTCTTTCTGTTTCTAGGGAATAGAACAAGTGACTTTTCATTAAAACCATGTTGAGCAAGCATGTGCTATTGTGTAACTTAGAGCCCCAGATTTTTTTCTGGGTCCAATGAATAAGACTCTCAATATTTTATGAGAAGAAGATCCCAAGGAAAGTAATACCCAGGTGAAAGGGACAGTGTTTTGGGCCAGTCTCCTCTGAGCAGAAACTCTACTCTGCAAGTGAAAAGACCAAGGAGCAGATTAAAATGCACAAAAGAAGGGATGGCAGTGGCTAAAGGACAACTGTAACAGGCAGCTGGAGAATTGTTACGAAGGCTGGAATGTAGTTTGTAGAAATCCTCCAGACCTTCTTCCTTGATGTTAGAATGGAAAGTGAGTTCCTTAGACAAGTTAGAGTGGGAGGTCTCTTCCCATCAGGCTGATGGCTTCTTGTGGTTCTCTGTCTGAGGCCACTGTGGCCACAGCAATGCACGTGGTTCATACAAGAGACAAGATAGGAGTGACACAGAGTCAATACCTCTGTAGGGAGTTGTCCTCAACCAGTGGTGCCTGGGCACTGATGGATAAGTGTGACAGCTTCTTACCCTTCAAGGGGGCAGAGCCAGGGCAGGTGTTCAGTCTCCTGCAATGGTAAACTTCTCCCTAGCACACCCCAAATTGGCTTCTTCCCTTTCCCATTTTACTGTCCCACTCTCCAGTTTAACTTCTTGAGATTACCAGCCTCCCAGCAGTACTTCCATCCAGATCTTCATTTCAATGTTGACTTTGGAGGAGCCACCCTATATAGTCAGGGCATTTGACATCTGACTCTTGACCCTCTTGGGCTCATCTCTGTCCTCCCACTAACAGGGCAACTAGTCTCAGTAATTACCTGCACACCCCAGTTCTTCCTGTCGTACCTGTATATGCTTGTTCCTTTCTTGGGAATCCAAGATTATCAACTTGGCATTCAATGACCTTCAAACTTATTACCAACCTCCCATCATGCCTTTCTCCACTCCACTCTATCCTTACACTCCTGTATGTCTGTCACACTGCCCTCTGCATTCCTTAACTATGACCTTCTGAATTTCTCTGTGCCCCAACTTTTGAAATATTTACCTCTATCATTGCCCTAACCTCATCCAAATTGTTAAAAATCTTTTTGTTTTCAAGTGCTAGTAGATCTCTTTTCCATTCTCAGCGTTAGGAGTGAAAATGTGGACTATAATTTAGACTCCAGTTTGTTTTTTCTAGATTGTATTTAAATGTAGCACTGCACCAATACCAGCTCTGTGCAGAGACAAGATTTATACAGAGCACACAAGTATTAAACAAGAAAGAATATATGAGGACCTGCTCAGAGCAGTGACTTTATAGGAATTGGACCGGCAAGTTCTACCTTGTAAATTCAGGTTTATATGTGTGGCATTTTTATGAATATGGGGCCTGGCTCTAGTTTGTTGGCTGTCCACTGAGAAATATGGTAAAATGCAGCACAGTTTCCTGGAAGATAAATTCCTCTTTAGTGAGATTTTTAGTCCTTGGAAATGTATTTTTATGTATGTTTTTTGATAACCTTGAGAATTTTAGATCATGAAAATGAAAATTGTTGAGATGGGTGAGTTTTTAAATTAGCACTTCATGAAAACGTGGATGGATAGTCAGAAAAAAAGAAGAAAATTTGACATACGTATTAGTTGCTACAAAGCAAAACAAATTACAAGCATAATCTTGAAATTAGAGGGAAACAAAATCCCTGAAGAACTTCTAGTGAGTGAGGGATGGTAATTTGAAACCCTTAATTTAAAGTGCCAGGCAGTGTGATAGGTAGTGAAGAGCCTGGATTCTGCTGGCTATGGAGGTGCATGCCTGTAAACCCAGCACTCAGGAAATTGAGGCATGTGGGTCATGAATTTGAGCCAGCCTGGGCTACATATTAAGACCATTTCTCAAACAAACAAGCAACAAAACAACAAGAAGAAAACAAGCATGAATTCTGGTGCAAAGGCTTGGTTTGGATTTAGTGGATGGTCACTCTGTCATAAGCTGTGTGACCTTAGACAAGTGCGAAAGCTCCCTGTGTGTCAGTCTTGCCTCCTTGTGTGGGCACACAATGACAGTCCTTATGTCTGTTATCAGTATACAGTAAGGCACCTAATAAATGTTTGCCATTACCATTATTGTTACTCTTGTTATTGTATCTATTTTACCAACAGCATGTGCTTTGTTGTTTTTTTTTTTGGAGACAGGGTTTTGCTCTGTAGCCCAGGTTGGCCATGAACTCGAGGTCCTCCTGCCTCAGCCTCCCAAGCACTGGGATGGCAGTCATGCACCATCACACCCAACTAATTTTTTAAATCCACAAAACATTGTATATATTTATCATGTACAACAAGATGTTTAGAACATGGATATATTGTGGAATGGCTAAATTGAGCTAATTACCATATGCATTAGCTCATATCCATACCTAGCTAAATGTCTTTTTTATATGCCTGTCTCATCTCTATGGGGTCTTTGGTTTTCATTTGGGGATGTCCTGCCACATTTTAACTTTTTTTCAGTTACCCATTCCTTGTGTCCTCTTTGTGGGGCTTCTCATCCAACAATGACTTGTGCGAGAAAATGCTGCCAGAGGAGGTTATGCTATGCTGAATACTTTATTTATATTTTTTATGTAAACATAATTTGCTTTGTAGGCACAATAGAACAAAAGCTCTGAAGCCACAAACACATTAGACAATGTTCCAGTTCGTTCCAAAAAAGCATCACCTACAGAGAAGCCCTCGCAGTTCCTTTTAAGGCAGACTGAGACCTTCTTTACCCTTCCTTCAGAAAGCAAGCATGAGACGGGAGAGGAGGTGATTAGAACGAGACTGTGTTAAATGTCCCCTTTCCCCCACACCCCGTACTTCATGGCAGAAGGTGGTGTTGATCATACTCCAGGTTTCTCATTCCGTGTTCTCAGGAGAGGAAAGGAGAGGGTTACCTGACTGGATGGGATTACTTGACTAACTCTGCTGGTTTCAAAACAAAACAAAACAGATTTGGGGAGGGATGAGTTTCCATGCTTCTCCTCTACATAATGTGGACCATCTATCTGGATCCCAACTATGGTTGGGTTTCCTGTCCCCTGAGAAGGACAGCCTCAGAGGTCCCTCAGAGGGCCAGCGGCTCTTGGCTCCTTCATCCTTAAAAAATACACTTTGCTCTGTTTGGATGTTGGCTCTCTGACCTCCTTTTCCAAATGGTTATGGGAGATCCATGACCAATAATATAGTGTTTAGCAAAGGTTTTTGGGGACAGATACCCCATTGTCTATTTAGTTGGTCCCAGACTGGATGCTAGTGAGTCCTGGGGTGGAAGAGAAGAGTGGTCGGTGTTCTCTTTTAATATATGTTTGCTTACCCCTTCCCCAACCATCCCAGCTTGTTGACTGGCCACATCCTATTTCATCTTCATATTTTATACATATATTCACAATGAGGAGAGACTTCCTTCAGATAAACATTTGGCATGATTAAGTCACCATCACAAACTTAGGATAGGAAGAAAAAAAGAACACGATGAATGAAGTGACATTAACTACAAAAGAACTTCGGAAATCAAGCAGGTAGTTGTTGGAAAGCATTCATTGCTGCCCCTTGGGGGAAAAGTTGGGTCCACCCTAAAGCTTGTTGTGAAGAATCTGGGTCATGCAGGAACCCTGTCTGTCTTCCATAATGCAAAATAAGTTGGGGTGGTACTTGTATGGGCTCCTTGTGATTTTACAGCATGGTTTGGGAGTGATGGAGTTAATCCATTGGCCAAAAGGGCTGGAAAGAGGGAGCGATGAGCCCCCAGACAGGGACACCGAGACTTCTCCTTGCACATGGTAGCTGTATTCACCTCTCAAGCCCAGTCAAATGGAGTGGAGGTTGGTATCTGAGGAGTTTAGGAGCTGGAAAATTGAGTAGGGTATGTTGTGAGCGGTTTAGTCCCTGAAACCCAAGGACCCCTGCAAAATAAGCACCATGGTTTTATGTGTGGAGGTGTTTGTGTGTGTGTGTGTTGGGGGGGCACACATTTGGCCTCAGATGCTGGCCAGCTAGCTACCTTCTGTATGCCTATCATTGGTTATATGTTGGAATATGCTTTGGCAAGATGAAAGATACTCATTGGTTTTCTCCAAATATGGTCTGCAGGAGAGGTCTTCCTTGGGCAAAGGTAGTTGCTTGGCCGGAAATTGAAAAAAAGTAGTAATAGTTATGGTCAGTATGCAAATACAGATAAGTCTCAGTAATGACATCTGAGTTAGTCCTACATGGGGTGAACTTTCTTAATATTAAAATGAAAATGTATATGGCCAGCAGGAGGATTTTGCTTATGAGACATGGCTCAGAGGAGAAACCTCCATGGCTGATTTTCAAACACACGCTGTTGACTCATCTTCTATCTTGAAAAACCTACCTCCTTGTGTTTGTGAATAAGAATGAAGGAAAGGATCCAACACCAGAGGGTTAGAGGAGAGAGGTTCAAATATATGGCCTTAAGATGGTAGAACAAATGTAAGTTGCCTTTTAGAGGGAGAAAGAAAAAGTACTGTTGGAAGATTTCTACACTTACAGGCTCAGGCATAACCCCTTCTGGCCTGTCCTCTTGCTGCCAGCCAAACTGGCAAGTGCTCTGGTCAGAGGCATGGCTAGCATAGAGTGTCATTGGCCTGAAGGGTACAAGGACCTTGATAGTGCTTTGTGACAACACCTTTCTATCCAAACTTGGCCTTGCCCATATCTGGTCTCTCAGGCCTTGGGCCTGTGGGCTTGTATTCATGTGCAAGGCTGTCCTAGAACTGTCGAGAAGAACCCAAAAATGGATGGGATTGCTACAGGGGAGAAGAGACTGTGACACACAGACTGGAAAGGGACATAACACTGCATGTAGTGGGGTTGGCACTTAATTCCAAAAAACAACAGTGATCAACAGCATCGTAGCTCAGCTGACTGCAGACAAACACAACACACACTGGACTACAGCATTTGTTCACTGGGGCACAGAAGAGTTCTCGCAGCCGGTCTTCTTCCAAACCGTCCTTCACATTCTCCTGCCTGGGGCCTGGCTTACTGGATGAATGGCATCCGCTCCTTGTTCTCGCTGTCACCTTCATGGTCCTCCTCCTCCTCCCCTGCCTCGCTGGTCTCTGTGCTGTCATTGGCCATCTGAAATTCAATAGAAGTTATTGTAGAGGGCTCGGCAACCTGCTCCTCACCTTTTCTGAGCATCAAATGAAGCCACTTGGTAAGGACTTCCTTGAAAGTGGTTATTCTTATAGGAGAAAGCGACTCAGAAAGCCCACCAAGTCCCTTTAGTCAATATCTGCTGAGCTGAGCAGGGAAAGACACATTTCTGTGGAGCTTTGAGCTTCTCCTGTTGCCTTTTCCCTTAGATGCTAGTTCTAGAAATGACCTTGCTGAATCCATGGGCCAGATCCCACGATGCCCTACAGTTAGCCTGGCTTTGTGCTCCAGCTAGAAGGGTTGTGACTTCCTCCCCACCACACAGGCACTCAGAACACCGTGTCTCCACCATTTCTTTGCATCTCAGGAGTTAAAAATCTTCCCCAGGTTCAGAAACAAGGACTATGACTTAACCAGGGCAGGACGTGAGCTCCTGGCCCGAAAGGTGGGCAATTGTCATGGGAGCCCTCCATGGTCCAATGGCAATTTCTTCCAGCCTGAGGACCAGAGGATCTGTGTCATGGGCACAGGCAGGCCTTCCCTCTGGGTGGGAGGTCGGTGCCATCTGTTTTGTTTGGAAGCAATCAGTGGTCCAGGCCAGTTCTAGAGCCTTTTGCCTTCGACCCACAGGGCCGAAAGAGAGCTGTTCTCTGGGTAAAGGGCACAGTGTCGGTGCACAGGGCAGCTGGGGTCCCAGTCCCCTTCCCCTCCCTGCCTTCATCTCTCATCTGCCTTTTGTCAGTCCTGGGACTTTGTGAGCATTTTATAAACTATATACTTGTTAGTAGCAGTCACTTAAACATCACAAAATTAAATTGTCCTTCACTGAGGAAAACAGCTGTTAAAATTGAGCTACATTTGGGTTATAATAGTCAAGGAAATATTTAAAAAATATATATACCTTGACTAAGGTACACAAGAAACTTTAGTTCTTTCTTTAAAAAGATTCTTTTTCATTATATTATTGTTGTACGGGGGTACATTATGACATTTACAAAAGTACTCACAATATATCTGAGTTAAATTCACCCCCTCCATCTTTCTCCTTTCTCTCCCTCCCTCCATTTGCAGAATGGTTTCAACAGGTCTCATTTTTCCATTTTCACGCATGAGTACATAATCGCCCAGCTCTGTCTCTTGAGATGGGCAGATGTAGCTCTAACACTTGTGTGTAAACAAAGAAACAGAAATCCTGCCTGAGTATTTTCTTTGTTAAGCCTTGCTTAGGGCACAGTATGGACCAACAATGCTTCATGAATGTCATTCTCTTTTTGGTGGTGCTGGGAAGTAAACCCAGGTCCTGATACACACCAGGCAAGCATTCTGCCACCTGGGCTATGCCCCAGCCCTTCTGTTTTTGAGACAAGGTCTCATTGCTACCTTTGCCCAGGGTGGCCTCAAACTCATAGTCCTCCTGACTCTGCCCACGGGGTAGCTGGGATTACAGGTGTGTACCACCATGAACATCATTCTAACTGACTTAGGAGGATATATCAATCTCTAGTTTGTAAACAGAGGACCAAAGCTGGAGTGCCAAGCAGCCCAGGCCATGGATGAGCTCAGAGCTGGGCTCTGAATGTCTGGAGTGGGGTCGTCTGTGTATGCATTGAGCAGCATGCATGGCTCCTACAAGGGACCTTCGGGAGAGCAAATGAATTGCATTTGACAGGGTGCACCCCTGCTGTGCTGCCTGATAAAAGAAAACAAAATTGATAGAATCACTCAGAACATCTCAGAGGCAGCTGGCATCATTCTGTTAGGAACATGAATTTGTGTTTCTTAGAATGTACCAGGAATTCCTCCTGTTGGCGGCAGCACCTGTAATAGGTCTGCTTTTTCTATCCATTCCTGTCTGCCCTCAGACTGCTCTTAACCTGCTCTCACGGAGACATTCACCCTTCCTTCTTAGCCTTTATCTCAGTCTGTGGCCAATCCTTCACTTTGGGGATCATTTGATCACCCTGGTCTCCTTTATATCCATGAGCTGCCTATATTTCTTTCTACCCTAGCTGTACCTACACCTCACAGAGCTTTGATTCATCTTGCACGTTGGGCTGAGGGATATCCTCTGCTTTGCACTCACCAGTGGAGTCGGGGTCTTTTCTACATCCAGAATCAACTTCCCGATGTTCCCTCGGTCATGGATTCGCTGCATGGCCTCCTTCACCTGAGACACAAGGCCAGAAATAAGCACTGGTTAGCCAGGTGCCACCCAGGTAAAAAGGGAGCTTGGAAAAGTCAAGCCATCTACTTCCCACCAGAGGGTGCTGCAGTGCAATCTTGGAGGCTAATCCTGGGCTGTTTGGTTGACATTGGGGTGTAAATAAATTCTGGTTGTGCCTTTCACACACTCTGATCTTACCTGTGTCTAAAAATGAGGGCTGTAGTTTTTTGCAATAAGTATTTGAAATCTTTGAAAAGGAAGAGACAGAAAGGTTCCCTGTAGTTCTGAGAGTTACATGCCACAGGATGTCAGACTAAAGTTTTAGCAATAAAAGTATTTTTGACAGCCATTTGAGACATGTTTGCTTAAATGTTATAACTCTGATTCATAATTTGGCTACAGAAACCCATTTCCCAGGGCTGAACTGCATTCAGGAAAATTCCCATGATTGGGAGGAAACCTTGCCTCCACCAGCAGGAGTTCTCTTCAGAGCAAATATTGTCCCTAGAAAAAGGACCTAAAGTTTCCCTTTTGAAGCTGGGGGCGTATCAGGCCAATGGTTGTCTCCTGGAAGCCTTGGAAAGAAGCAAGGTGTGAGACAATCCAGTTTGTTCTGGGCATTTCATTCTGTTGCTGTGTAGACAATGAACTGTAGGGGGTGCTGTGGATTAAGTGAAAGGAGGACGGCAAAATACACTCCAGTCTAGCTCTTGGTGTCAGTGTGTCCTCCACATCTTGGTGGACTCTAAATGGACTGCAACATCAGTTTATTTTAAAAAAGAAAACATAATACATCTAGCCTAAATACTTTTCTTAACGTCTCGCATTTTAAAATATTTTTGTTCATTCCTTCTGTCCACAAACATTCAGTAAATGTCACTTCTAGGCTAGATGCCAGGATTGGAAAATAAAGAAGACACAATGGCCATCTTTGAGGAACTCAGTCAATGGCCGATACAGTAGCGTTTGCTTATATAAAACCCAAAGTCTTCTACACATTTTGATACGAACTTGACAGGGCCATTAAAATGTTTGCATTTGAATTGCTTTTTGGGGGGAACTTATTTCAATGACATCACTCAATTTATGTGGGAAATACCACATAAAAGATACTCAATAAGTGCATGGCTTTTAATGGAAAACACTGACTCAACTTTATATCACCAAGTAAGGGGATGGTATGTAAGCCATGGCTCTTACAGTGATTTACAGAATGGAAATGCTACGCAGCTGTCAGAGACCATCACGGTATAAACAGCTAATTAGAAAGAATGCACAAAGGATGAACTGCTTCTGTTATATTGCTAAGTGAGAAAAGTGGCATGCACACCTTATTTACGTCTCGGATATTCCAAAATAACTAGAAAGGGGTAGAGCTAGATGATGAAATGCCACTGGGGAAAAGGGTGCCTTTTAAATCTAGTGTATGAATGCCATTATTTGAGAACATGGTGTTGAATCAATATTGAATATAAATCAATGTTTAAGGTAAATTAATTTATACTTAATATAAATTAACATAACTTTATATAAATTAGATGCAGTCTTTGGATAATAGCATTGGTTAGAATCAATTTCTGGGTTTATTTTTGTTTATGTTTTTGATTTTTTTTTGAGACAGGGTCTCATTGTATAGCCCAGGTTGACCTTAAACTTGTGATTTTCCTTCTGTCTAAGTCTCCTGAGTGTTGGGATTACAGGCGTGCAGCACCACACCCGGCTCAACCTCTTTGTTATAGACTGATAGTGTCACGATTGTTAAATTTTTTGACCCTAATACATAACCAGTAGATGCTTTCTATTTTCTTTCTTCCTTTCCTCTCCTTCCTTCCTTCTTTTCTTTCTCCCTTCCCTTCTTTCCCCTTCCCTTTCCTTCCTTCCTTCCTTTTGTTGGTACTGGGGTTTGAACTCAGGGCCTTGTGCATGCTAGGTAGGTATGCTACCACTTGAACCACACTCTGAGCCCTTTTTGCTTTAGTTGTTTTTTTCAGGCTTTTGCATTTTTTCCCAGAGCTAGCCTCAGATCCTTCTACGTATGCCTCCCAGTAGCTGGAACCACACCTGGCTTGGTTGTTGAGGTGGGGTCTTGTTAACTTTTTGCACAGGCTGGTCTTGAACTGTGATCTTTCCAATCTCTGCCTCCCTGGTAGGTGGGATTACAGGTGTGAGCCACTGTGCCTAGCCATTTCTTCTATTTTGTGTGACATTGCTTTTTGAAGTGCTTTTGGTCATAGCAATGGATGCCATAGTTGTTCCTTGGCATCTATGAGGAGGGAGTTGGTTCCTGAGTCCCCCATGGATACCAAAGTCTGTGGAGGCTCAGGTTCCTGGTATAAAATGGCACAGTATGCATTTGCATATAAACTGCATACATTTTCGTGTATTTATTATCTCTATGTACTTGCAACAATGAATACAATGTAGTGTGTTGTTCTACTATGTAGGGAATAATGACTGGAAGTAGAAGGCTATACATAGCTAAACAGTTTTCTGTCAGGCTCGGATGGCTGAACAGATGCAGAGTCTGACGTGAAGAGGGCCAACTGGACTCACTGGGAGTCTGTACGTGGTGTCAGACAGCTTCTAGCCTGGCCCTCAGTGACTGTCCTCCTGGGACTGATGTCCATGTGTGACTCTCTCCCCTTGACCTAGGAACCTGCTTCTAACCACAAAACACAGCAAAAAATGATGAATTCTGACTTTGAACATTAGTTTATAAAAGACCATCCCTTCCTTTCTGTAGTCTCTTTCTCTCTCTTCTTGCTTCCTCTGTGGTGATACCCACGTCCATGCTGTGAGCTGCCCTGAGGAGAGGTCCACATGGCAAGGAGATGAGGGCAGATCCCAGTCAGCAGTCAGTGAGGAGCTGAACCCCACCACTACCCCCTCAAGAGAGCTTGGAACCAGACCCTTCTCCAGTTGAGCCGTGGAATGACATCACAGCCCCAGCTGACCCCTCGACCGCAGCCTTGTGAGAGCCAAAGGACCAAGTTAAGTACCTGAATCCTTACTGAACCCGTGAGACCACAAGTGCTATTGTAAGCCACTGTGTTTTTTGGGAGTAAATGCAGTAATAGATATTTAATATATTTTTACCTTGAATACTTAATTTGTAGCTTGCAAGATATACATTACACCCTCTTTACAGATAAGTCCCCTGATGCTACAAAATAGAAGCAAATTCCCAAAGATTTTCATGGCTACTGACAGAACTGTAGCTCAAAGTCAGGTTGGCCAGTCAGCAAAACCAACACTTTTTTTTCTTACTTTTTCCCAGACTGAGTTGCTTCCTTTGATTCTCAAAGGCAGAGGAAAGTGGAGGCTAGCATCTTACATAATGACTTCCCAGAATTCAGTTGTCTGTCACCCTGGCAAGTCATTAAGCACTTGGAAACTCTTTGGAGATTAGGATCACTTTTTAAGCTGTTTCTCTAATGAGACAGAGCCCAGGAAAATGCAAAAGCAGTTTTCTCACCAGTTAAAGCTTATTGTGATGCTAGGAAAAAAAAGAAAAAAAGTCCCCCTACAGGGCTGCCTCTCATCTGCCTATTTTTGGACACTGCTTTCTGAAATGAATTGACTCCTTGCAGTTTCCCATGCGAAAGATGGAGAAAAATCTGAGTATTTCCAAGAGATCATTTAATTAGTCTACCCACAGTCATGCTGTTAGAATTTCCATCCTTTTAAAGGTATGCTCTTGGAGATGTGAAGGAGTTCTTCTGATAATGACTTAGAAGGGAAGAGGCTGCCATTTTTGCTCATGCTGTACAGCATTTTATGTGTCTTGCCTTAATTTATCCACACATCAAGCCTCTTGGGTGAGTGCATCAGCCTTTCACAGATGAGAGACATCCCAGGGCTGCCTCCAGTCCTCATCTGAAGGTGGTGGGAGAAGGTTTTACTTTCTCAGGACTCTGGGCAAAACCCAGGGCAGACCTCTGTGGCCAAGGTAAAGTAAAATCACAGAGACTTTGCTCCCAAGTTACTGGTTTATAAATGGTGCCCCAGAGAGTGACATCATCCAGAGATGGAGGTGATGGTCTCCAAAAGCCCTGTGGTACCTGGGGAGACTTGTGACCCCTGCAGGGGGATTTTTCTGAAGCACCTTTATGCTGAAAAACATTTGCCATTGTGTTCAAGAGTAGAGTCTGGTAGACCTACATTGCCTAATCCAGGTGACAAGTGAGCACTTGAGATATGGTGGTGCAAATTACCACGTGCCATCAGTGTGACATACACACCAGACTTCAAAGACTTAATAACCAAAATAATGCATAATAATTCAAAAATAAAAAATCCTGTGAACAGCATTTTAATAATTTATTTGTTAATATGAATATAATCCAATGCAATGAATGTGAGCAAAAATGATGTCACTACCCACAAAGAACAACACAAAAAGTAGAAGGAGAGTGGTAAAAAAAAATCTTAATAGGGAAGGCAAAATATCTCAGTAAGAATTGTCAACAATGACTAAATGGTGAAATGATATTAATTAAAACCATGAATGAAAAATTAATTTTCTTTTTTTGGTGGGATTGGGGTTTGAACTCAGGGCCTTGCACTTGCAAATCAGGTGCTATACTGCTTGAGCCATACCTGGAGACCATTTTGCTCTGATGTTTGGGAGAGGGAGTCTTTCAAATTATTTGCCTGGGCTTGGTTTTGATCCTCGATTCTCCCCATCTCAGCCTCCCAAGTAGCTAGGATTACAGGTGTGAGCCACTGGTGCCTGGCTGGCAAATGATACTTTCTTATACTTTTTTGAGTATGCTACTAGAAAATTTCAAAACTTTGCTAGTATTGCAATTGTGCTGGCAGCTGTGGGCTGGATGTCTCAGGAACTGATGTCTGTTACCTTTGTGGCTATATTGTTCCCCTTCACCTCTGACACCCCTTTTCCCCACACTACTCCAGATATGCGTGAAGCTCACAGGGCCCTCAGCTGTGCCTCCATATATCCTGGGTCCCTTCCTGGAGAACCCTGGTCCTGGAGCTAACTT